TTTTTTTTTTTTTTTTTTTTTTTTTTTTTTTTTTTGTATAAAAAAACCTGCCTTAGGAGCAGACCAAAGTCATAGTCTGGCTCCCTGAGTCCAGATTATGGCCCTGACCGGTTAGTTTCTGTTTAGCATTCAATAAACCTTTGCTGAGTTGAGTCTGGTGTCTGAGTGCTCAATGGGCTGGGATTCCTGAACCTGTAGCATCTATATTCTGAAACAAATGTGAAAGGACAGACATCTCTACAAATACAATAAAGTGATTTTGCTAAAAAGTCACAGAATAAAGCATTCTCTCTCAATGTGATTTTAATTTTTGTTCAACATTGTATAGTCAAAGGAAATAAAATTAAGCTCACAACTGATAAAAGTGAAAAAAATAATCAAGATACAGATACACTGATAAAACTGCAGCATGATTTCGGCTTCTGAAGCTATTATTTTATTTTTATGAAATAATAGTTGTGAACCAACTTCAGTGATTTGTGTCACAAGACATGGTATACTTAAAGTCTCTAGATACATCCCTGAGATTAGTTGTGGCTTACACATCCCAAATAGATGATTATGCATAATGTAGAGCTGGAAGAGTAGCTGTTAGTTATTCTTTACGGTTGCTGGGGAAAGTGCTTTGCTGGCACAAGGCATGGCAGACTCCTGATTCCATGGTTTGAAAGCAGTTCCCTCTGTTTCTGCTAGATCTTTCACCATACTTTCTTTGCTACAAGAAACATTTCAGTGTTTGCTATATGAAACCTTGGCAAGTTGTGATGTGACGATGTTCAAACAAGTTAGTCAATTTTCTTTTTCTTTTTATTCACATTATTATAAATGTGTGGATTTTAGATGAGAAGACTAAAAAATAGAATCTCCCATTTGTTCAACATGTATTGGTTGAAAGCCTTAACAAACAAGTATTATTCTCCTATGCAAAGAACAGAGCTAACCTTGCCCTTGAGGAAGCTATAAAAAAGAAAGAAAGAAAGAAAAGGAGAAAAGAAAGGGAGAAAAGAAAAAAAAGAATAATCCAAATGACACCATCTCAAAAATAAATATGTTGCTTCAAACTTGATTGGATATCATGGCCAAAAGTAGTTGTATGATAACACAGGCACCCAATGGTGTCTAAAAGATCAGAAAAGCCTTAATGGCAGAAGTTTGAAATTAACTTACTCTCCAAGCTGGAGCAGGAACATGTGTATGTATAGGTGGCTAGAAGGAGCATGGACATCTCAGTATCTAATTTGGAGTGCAGAGTGAAAGGGGAAAACAAACAAACAAAAAATAAAACTGTAGGATGTTGGGGAGCAGAGGCAGCAGAAATGGGAACATGCAGGAGGCAGTATCCTACTAAGGACTTTCATTTTTATTCTAGGACCAAAAAGAAGGTATTAAAGGATATTAAGCAAGGAGGACAGTTACAGGGAATGATAACACTTATACTTTGTAATGATGACTCTGGCTAGCATATGACAGGAATAGGAGAAAGAGTAGGTTCTCCTCAAAGAGTTGATGAGGGGAAGGTGGGGTTAGGCTATCTCTTAAGTCACTCAAGAGACAAAGATTAAAGAAGTGGTGGCAGAGGTGAAGAAAAGTGGCTGGAACTGAGAGAAATTTCCATAGTAGTCTCTAAGACTTGGGGAAAGATCCAGCTTGCCCAAGTGACATGCTGAACTATCTTCTTTATCTTTAGGACTTTTCAATCCAATAAATGGGTACTGATATTTGCCAAAGCAGGAAACACTAGAATCCTAAAAAAGGTTGAAGTCATGGATAAACATAAGACTGAGCAAAAGAAAAATAAGGAGAATTCTATTTTATGGACCACCAAACTGGGTGCTAACAATTCTGTGGGCTGTGACCTCAAGTCTTTTCCTTTTCTCACTCCAAATTCTTCTAAGTTTAACAAGAACAGCTGTCTGATTCCAAGGTTTGTGATTCCCCTTAAAAATGAGTTTGGAATGTAAGGTAGTAGATAAATAGATTTACCTTGAACTTTGCTTATATCTGTTCTTCCTTGGATTTGATAGGCATCACTTAAACTCTCTGCTGTTCCATTCACAAGGCCATAGGTGCTTCCAAAGGATAATGCTGGGGGGAGGGTAATGATAATGTCACTGAACTTGTCCCACTGGCTCCCTAGGGAGTATGTGGAAATCTCCAGCTTACACAAACTATTTGTACATTTTTTTGGCTCATTAAAGTAGTCTTAACAAGAATTACTTTTTGCTTTTTATGATAGAAGAAGGGTCAATTTTTAAATGAATCCTTTTATTTGATTTGTTTGTTTGTTTTTTGTTTCTTTGTTTGTTTGTTTTCCTGTGACAGTGTTTCTCTATGTTGCCTTGGCTGTCCTGGAACTCACTCTATAGACCAGGTTGGCCTTGAACTCAGAGATCCACCTGCTTCTGCCTACAGAATGCAGAATACAGAATACAGAATACAGAATGGGGGATTAAGGCATTGCCACCTCATCCAGTTAAGGTGAATTTTTAAAACAATATGACTAACTTTAATAGTGGTTGACATCTGTTTCCATACTCTGACAATTCATAGTAAAGTTACACATCCCTTTTGAACACATGCCTATTTGAGTATTTAAAAACAAAATTTATTTGAGGCTTTTCAGAATATTGTCCCACTTGATGACCTTAGTGTAACCCAGTAAAAGTGGACGGATGTACATTTAATATCCTAATTTTATCTTGATATTTCAGCAACTATTTGAATTATCTGGCTATCTTTGCATGAATTTTCATTTGCATATGAATGTTTCCATCAGAAATGTAATCAAATGCAAATTCAATTGGATTTGCATTAATAGTCTTTGGGCTTAAAAGGGAGAAAAATTCTGATTTTTCTGGAGAGGCAAACTAAACTACATCTAGATACACTTCTGGTGTTTGGAAAGGGAATTTGATTGCTAGATCAAATTTTGTCATGCTAGATTTCTATATGAAGTGGGGTGGAGACAAAAGGACTTCATATCACATATTCTATTTAAGGATCATCTTTGGTAATCTATGGGATCTTGAACACTGAGTATCTCGCCAAGAAACTAGTGGTTTTAAAGAAACATTGTGAAATGAATGTGAAAAATAATGTGCCTTTACACTATTAAAACAAAACAAAATATGAAAGAAGATACCTGATAGCTGAGCTAATGATTAAGAGTTTTGCTCAACTCAATTTAGGTAATTATAAGACAATGTGATGAAGTATTACGTGGGATTCATAAATGCTTGCAGGAGTTAGACATGGCCTCAGTGAGGGGCTTCATGAAGAATATGTCATTTAATCATTTAAGTGTATTGACTTCCTTAGGACTTTCCCTCGTATATGTGGGGCAGATCTGCTATTGATCATCTATCCATAACCACTTAAAGTGAGCTAGCATTCAAACGTAAAAGAGCCAGCATATCCACCATGAAAAAAAATGTAGCTTCTTGTTTTTCATTACAATTTTCCTTTTCCTAGACACAGCTCTTCATCCCCACACCACCAAATCTTACAATGCTGACAAAAGCTGTTTACAGTATGATCCTGCTCTCATTTTCCGAATTGCTTATCTGCACTTGAAACAAGCCCAATCATTTGTTAAGAAGAGGCTAAGAGATAAAATTAAAGCCCATGGATCCCTTCCCTATGGTTTCAGGACTTCGTTCCAAAATGAACAGCAAGGCTTGTCCCCTCAAAATAACTGCAGAGGTGAGATGCATAATGAAGGGCCTGATGCTTTCCATTCAGGAAAGGAAGGTTCATGACTAGAGAGCAAGAAGCAGAGACAAGATGGCCGTCCTGTGGCCATGTATCCAGCTGCATGTTCTGAGGCTGTGCTACCTCTCCCCGTGACTGTACTGTCCCCCTCCTTACTTTACGTCACCCCAGAAACCTACTTTGAACTATGTCATGTTCCAGTCTCTGAACACTAAAACCCCACTTGCTCGCAGTACTGCAGCAAGTGATGGGGGTGCATCTGGTTACTCCTGTTGGCAAGGATGGAATCTTGATTGTATTTGGAAGTTTGTATTTCTGTTTTTACAAAGATTTTATAATACTGTGTAGTGGACACAGGAATGAGGGGGAGAACTTGCTAAGAAGTCACAGAATTCCCCGCTGTATTTTTCTAGTATAAAATCAGCCTCATTTTTTGTTCTTTCTATAATCCTCCTCACTCCCTGGCTGCCTTGGAAGGACTGCCAAAACACACTGACAGAGGATATTTGCATGGTATTTATCATCAAACCATAACAAAAAATTCACAAGAAACCTCAAGTAATTTCTTCCCATAGCTTCTCCGGGGATTTTGCATTTAGTCCTAAAATTTACCCTAATATCGTGCAAATATCTCAACCTTCCCTAAGGTTAGTTAAACTTTTCTCCATCCAAAAAGAGAATGTTAATTAAAAATGTTTCCTCATGGCTATATGTATTTTAATATTGGTAGATAAATTCCTAGATCCTTTCAAGTCAGCAAAGTCTCTCTTTTCTTTTAAATATGTTAGTCAGTCTTACTAGTCATACTTATTAATAATACTTTCATAAATACTTTTAAGACTATCTTGGGAAAATATTGATTTTTTTTTAAGGTAGATAATGAATGTTGGTCTAAACTGACTTTTAAAGCAATTGCCTAAAAACAAGCAGTGTTAGCAGACCTCTCAGTGAAAAAGAAGCATGGACTGGTTCAGGAACCCATCAGTTCCCATAATTAAGTTGCTTAGAATACGTTCTCAATGAGAGACTAAAAGTGGTCTTTACTTATACTTTACAGGTCATTGAGTTTATAATGTGACCCTGATGCTGATTCTGTTTTTCTTGTTTTCTTTTGCCACTTATTTCCCGCATTTAGAACAAGAAGGCAACTGCTCTGTTGCTATTGGTCTAACATGTGGCATGTTTTCGGCTTTCATTACAAACTGAGATGGAACTGGAGAGATTGCTCAGTGGTTAAGAGCAAAGCCTGTCCTTCCAGAGGACTTGAGTTCAATTCCCAGCAACCACGTGGAAGCTCACAACTGTCTGTAACTCCAGTTTCAGAGGATCAGGCACCCTCAAACAGACATGGAGGCAGAACACCAATGCACATAAAAATAAATTTAAAAAAAGAACTGAAAAGATATATTTGAATATTATTGTTAAGCCATTTTGGCAATCATCAGAATGAATAAGTAATTCTTTCAGGAAATCTAGCTTCTATCCACATTGCCACATGTCAAAGCAAAAGGGACAGAAGCAGAAGTCATGTATGTAACTGTCTTCTCCACCCATATGGCAAACAATTTCTTCAGTCCTAATAGATGACATAAAAAGAAGACATAAACTTATATTTAATTTTGCATAGATTTTGAGGGGGCTTAAGAAGGCATATGCAAAGGTAGCTGAATTCTTACAACTACTTTGTATAGAGTTGACCAATAAATAAATATCAGCATACATATATTGGCACCAGATATCTAAAAGCTGGAAGGGATGGGGATGTTTTTTTTCTCATGGTGTGGCCACACAGCAGCTCCTCAGAGCCTCCGACTGGTACAGAGGCATGTATAAAGCCAGGGGAGGGTCGTAAAGAGCCACAGAGAAGTTTCTTCTTTTGCTGAGAATTAGGCATCTTGGTGGTCTCTCCACCCCTGCTCTTATCTAGCCTTCTCTGGGGAAGCATGTTCAAATACCAATGTGAGATTCATGCTAAAAGCTTTAGAAGAGAGAGATGAAGAATGAATAGGAGGTGGGATTTTGTAGCAGTCTGCAAGATCAAATATTTCCCTCCACAGCAGGAAGTAGCCCAGTCAGGGATGCAGGCTAATTTTAAAGTTTGATTTTGTATGAGAGGATTGTGAATATTAAGATCCAGAGACTTACAGTAACCTTTGAATGACTTTGCAATGCAACAGCACAAAATGATGCAGTGTATTGAATTTTAATTCCCCAGTTAAACAATATGTGTCCATCTTTCCCTTAACTATGTAACCTAACAATCTGGGATTAGTGTTGCTGTATTTTAGGAAGGTAATTTTGCTCAGCAGTTCATACTTTTTTTTTTTTTTCTTCACAGAAAGCCATAAAACATTTAGTGTTTGCTCTGGATACTCACTGGTTTTCAAGGTATGGTTTGCATATTAGTGTCAATATACCTGGGAACTTATTTGAAATGCAAGTTCTCAAGGCCTATTCCAGAGCTAACCATCTGTGTTTTAACAAGCCTTGAAGGAAATCTTGTCTAAATTAAGAACCCCTGCAAGAAGGACTCTCTCTTCTGTCTCATATAGCACACACAGCATGCTTTTGAGTGATATCATGGAATGTCTTCGCATCAGACAAGTCTGACCACTTCAGTCTGAGTTTGCAGCCCTCTCGTTTGCTTGCTGGATGGAATCTGCAAATGTGAATCACTGAGGATATCACAGCACACTGAATCTTTCTCTGCCACATGTGTGAGCTTCTAGAGGTATGGACCGTGTGATTAAACTCAGAGCCTGGGACTCCCCATTTGATTTGCTTATTTTGTGTTTGGCTCTTAATTTTCTCACCTGTGAAATGAGCCAGCATGTTCTTGGGCATCCCTAAAGTCATAGCAATACATACTTTGAAATAATTAATTGCCACTATCAATATGTTATCTACCTCCTAGGTAAGTCTAGAGAGATTATTCTGTATTCTTTTCAATTAAAAAAGTCTGAATAACATGGATTATGGGAGACCCATACACAATGATAAAGAAAAAATATTTTGGAAGTGCTTGGAAACCACAGGTGTGATAATAAGCACATGACAACACAGTGCTTATTAAATATTTGTTGGCTGAATGAAGGAGCCATGCAAGAAGCCAGGCGTGCTTGTCATTTCTTATGGGAACTCTTGCTGCAAAGTGGAGATGGCTGCTCCTAATCGCAGACAAAGCTCATGACACCCCATGAGCTCATGAGCCAGGAAGTGAAGATGCTCTTCCAGGTGCACACCTATGATGGTCTATCCCTGACAACTCCTGTCCGTCCTGTGCTCATTCTGTTTTTCTTATATTTTTTGATCATTGATAAAAAATTAGGAAGTTTTCATATATATATACATATATATACACTTATACACATATATATACACATATACATATATAAGTGTATGTGTTCATATATGTATATGTGTACATATATGGATATATTTATATCTGCATATATATATATATATATATATATATATATATATATATATATATATAACTGATTGTTTCTATGACAGATGTCTGACTGAATGACAAAAACTCTCCAACCCTGAAAATGTGACATAGCGAAACTAGAAGAAAACGACTTGCTTCACAGTAGCACAGTAGCAGATTAGTGTGTGTCCTTGTGGGGCTCTTAAGTATGAACTGAATTCTCTGCCCCAGCATGACTGCTAACACTTCAAAGCCTCTCAGCTCCTGCTGGGAGATACCTGATGTTCAAACTTGTATGGCCTCCATCCTTGTAAAAGAGCTAGCAAATTTCAAACTTTTAATTCAAATCCCATGTAAGAGAAATAAGGGGAAGTTGAGGCTATAAAACCATGAAGAAAATAAAGGCATTAAAACTTTTCCTGCTCTAAGATTCCCTCTTTCTTCTATGAGAATGGCTGAATGGATGGAATCCATGCTTTGTGGAGCCTGTTGCTTGCAGGCCTCACCCTACCCAGAGAAGTCAGACTACTTACTGTATTGTTGCCTCAGATGAGATTTACAACATAGGCCAGGATCATTCCTGAGAGTCCATTCGCTACGAGGACACCTGACCTGTACACCTGGACTGAACTGTTATTAACATAACAGGTATAAACCCCTGATCTGATTCCATAGTATTAAGCTTAAACTCTACTGTTTGGATTCTGTTCAGGACATGATTTGTGGGGCCAGAGGAAAGTGAAACTATAGGGTACCTTGTTCAAAGTTGTTAAAATGATCAGGAATAAAGCCAGACATGACAGTATAGGGATGTATGTCCCTATAGGGACATTTGTCCCCTATACAGACAAAGCAAACTTCAGAACTGGAGATACTTAGGGAAAGAATCCTTTTAGATTCAAATGGGAAACTGTGTCATTTTTCTATTCATCTTAGTTTTAAAAATTTATATACATGATTTACTTTCTAGATTGATGTATTAAGAACTAGTAAGTTCAACTTATTAGTAAAGGTAATTAAATGACCAAAAAAAAAAGGCATAAATGTAAGACCCGCCTAATTACAGGCGTGGTGCATGGTATAAGGTGCATGCCTTGTGCAGCACAGAGGTTCCGTTCCCACATCATCAACACAGCTTTTATTTTCTTAGTTTATGATTCCCAAGACAGTTTCATGAGGAGAAAGGGTGAGGGGAGGGAAGCCCAAATTGTCTAGGCTGATTTTCTCATTGAACAAGCTGATGCCACCAAGATGTAGTGAGGTTAATGAATGAGTCACACAGTTACAAAAGTAGTTTTCAGAAGAGCTGGATACAGAGGTTACATATCATGACTCCTGGCCCATTGTTCTTTCGACTACATCACAGTGATTTCAACATGAGAGAGAAACACTCCATCTTTGTAGTTTTTGTTTATCATGCTTGATTTAATAACATTTGAAAAGGACCTAGATACATAAAAGATCACAAGGATGTGAATAATTCTAAATGTCACATTCTTACATTATAAAATTAGTATGAGAAAAGCCAATTAAAATGCCAACTTTAGTGGCATATGCTGTTAAATTATTCCTCATTTTTATGTCTATACATTTCTTTGTTTTTATTTTATTTTTATTGATTTATTATTATTTACAATTTGTATTATTTGTACTATTTGTATTAGTTCACTTTGCATCCCCGCTGTAGCCCCCTCCCTCATCTTCTCCCAGTCCCACCCTCCTTTCCTCTTCTCCCCCTATGTCCCTCCCCTAGTCCACTGACAGGGGAGGTCTTCCTCCTCTACTATCTGACCCTAGCTTATCAGGTCTCATCAGGACTAGTTGCACCCTTTTCCTCTGTGGCCTGTCAAGGCTACCCCTCCCCCACCAGGGAGGAGATGATCAAAGTGCCAGCCACTGAGTTCATATCAGAGACATACCCTGCTCCCCTTACTTGGATACTGAGCTGCCTATGTGCTACATTTGAGCAGGGGTCTAGGTCCTCTCCTTGCATGGTCCTTGATTGGAGCATTGGTCTCTGCAGGTCCCTCTAGGCCTAAATTTTTTAGGAATGGATACAGAAATTGTGGTACATTTGCACAATGGAATACTACTAAGCAATTTAAAGACAAGGAAATCGTGAAATTTGCAGGCAAATGGATTGAACTAGAATAGATCATCCTGAGTGAGGTGACCCAGAAGCAGAAAGACACACATGGTATATATTCACTTATAAGTGGATATTAGCCATAGACATACTAAAATCTATATTCCTAAGGAAGCTAAATAAGAAAGAGGACCCTAGGGAAGATGCTTAATCCTCATTCAGAAGGGCAAACAGTATAAACATTTGTAATAGGAGGAGACAAGGAACAGGACAGGATCCTAGCACAGAGGGCTTCTGAAAGAATCTACTCAGAAGGGTATTGAAGCAGATGCTGAGACTCATAGCCAAACTGTGGGCAAAGCAGGGAATCTTATGAAAGAAGGGGAGATAGAAAGACCTGGAGGGGACAGGAGCCCCACAAGCTTTTCTTTTGTAAATTTAATTTACTTATGTACTGAAAGTGTTCCTACTTTGATGAATCCTATATCTTTTTAATTTTTTTTCTTGCCTTGCCTCTCTTTCATTGTCTTTATTTATTTCTATGGTGATCCAGATTGAATTACTGAGTGTCATTATGGCCAACTTTGGTTGTCAACTTGACCCACATGGGAAGAACTAGCCTTCGGGCATGCTTGTGGGGCATTTCCCCCATCGCTAATTCATGGAGGAGGGCCCTGCCCACTGTGGGCAGCATCATCCCCAGGCAGGAGAGCCTGGGCTATATAAGGAAGGTAGCTGAACATGAGCTTGATAACAAGCCAGTAAAGAGCTTTCTCTGCTGGCTTTTGCTTAAAGCTGTTACCTTGACTGCTGTGGTGTCCCTTAGTGATGGGCTATAACCTGTAAACCAAATAAACATTTCCCCCCCTCAAGTTGCCTTTGGTTGTGTTGTTTATCAAAGCAACAGAAAGCGAACCAGGACACTAGGCAGAAGGAAGAATTCTTCAGATTCTCTCCTAGAGATGCTTAATCTTTCTGTTTAACATATAAGGACTGCATTTTTCCTAATTTTAGTATTTCTTATTTTTAATCAAGTTTCAAATGCACTCAATAAATTACAACTCTCCAAAGCACCCTGCAAAGATGAATCATTATAAGCTATTATTTCACTGGCTATTCTGAGTGTATATGGTAAAAAAAGTATGCCTTAAACTTAACATAGTGAGAGACATAAAGGGAACTTCATTCACGGTTCATTTTGCTTTCCTATTTCACATACTACTTGTTTTTCCCCCACATGCTTAATGACATCCTCCTACATGTGTTCCACTCCTTCAGATTAAATGAAACTATGTCAGCCCGTGGTAATATCCCATCCCTCACAGGCTTTTCCCGCAGAGCCCTTCCTGCTTGCATCTGTCTTGACATACAGAGCAAAGAGGCTGGGTCAAACTACTTCTTAATTCACACTGCTGATCCAAACCACTGTTCCCTGTTTTACAAGCTCACTCATCATTAATTTATTCCTTAACTCAAGAAATGACCTGCTTATTAACTACCAGCACTACATAAAGTACTACGAACATTGAGGGGAATATGGAGAAGCACAACTTAGCATTGGCCTTCGGAGTCTCTACTCTAAAAAGGTTTTGAAGAATTTTCTGTTTTTTTGAGACAGACTCCTGAACTCATTATGTAGCACAGGGCTGGCCTCAGACTCCCCATCATCCCTTTGCCTCCCAAAGGCTAGATTTAGAGATGTTTTCTGCCATACCTGGTTGTAACTATAATGCTCTGAAGCCCAAAGTTATCTTTCAATGCATCAAGTCTTAGGGCACTGCCTCTGTAGTTCAAGTAAAATGATATATGTCCTGTGACTACATTTCCTCCAGGCTACCATTGGTTAGAAGGTATGGTCCTCTCTGCAAGGTGGTGCACACCTCTAATTCCAGCGCTTGGGAAGCAGAAGAAGGCAGATTTCTGTGAGTTCAAGGCCAGTGTGGTCCACATAGTGAGTTTTAGGACAGTCAGAGCCACATGTTGAGACTCTGTCTCAACAAACAAACAAACAAACATGTAATAGTCCATGCCAAACTGTGCTCCCCCCCCAGTCTAACAACATGGATAGTTAGTCTCCATACTTCACT